CCCTCTCATTGCCCGAAGGCAATATATCCGATCTGTCCAAGAAAGCTTGACGAAGCTTGTTAAGCAACCTGTATGACGCTCATCTTCTTGTTGTATTTTCATCGTGACACGCTGCGGATAATTACATACATTGCGATTTCGTGAGTGGGGTCGGTTTGGATTATATATGACTACCTAGGTAAATGATACAGGTCCGGTACAACCAAGCTAACCTACGTAATTACATGCATCGATCGTCGCTAATGATCTATCCCGTCTTTTAACCCCACCTACCAGATTCGGGATCCTATGCTTCTTTCACTGCCGCAATTCGGATTGGAGTAGATCGCGGGGTTATCGAAAGAACAGAAAAATTGAGGACGGGCGAGACGTAGTAACTCACCACTTTCAAACCTCTCACTCCTCACGGCGAGCGGAAAATAGTCTACGCGCTAACAACCTCTTGCCTCCGGACATTTCGTAATTCCCGCCATCATTGATCACTAGGATGGGCGCGTCATCTGACCCAGCTCGGTTTTCCAATATTCGTGCGCAAGCTCAGATCCTAGATGACGACGATGGGCTCCGTCACTTGAGGGATGAATTCCAAGTCCCCACTAAAGCCGATATCAAACGGACAACACTTGAGAAGCAGCAAGGTGAAATTGAACTTCCTTTTCCGGTCTGCGGTATGCAGCGACCGAGAGAGCCCTTCGCTCACATTGAACTTCCGTAGATCGTAACGATGCCGTCTCAGCCGACGAAGCAACCTCATGTACGTATCTCTGCGGAAACTCCCTGGGGCTGCAACCCAAACGGACGGCAACCCGCATCAACCAGTACCTACAGACCTGGTCCACCCAAGCCGTCCTGGGTCACTTCAAGCCACTTGACGACTCGCCTCTGCCGACATGGCTTGATGCTGATGCACAAGCTGCCAAATTGATGGCCCCCATCGTGGGAGCGGATGAATCGGAAGTGGCGGTCATGCAGACCCTGACAGCGAATCTTCATTTGTTGATGTCAGCCTTCTACCGTCCGGATCCCAAGGGAAAGCACAAGATCATCCTCGAGAGCAAAGCTTTCCCCAGCGACCATGTAAGGGCGGGTCCGCGTGACGATGGAGAAATGTGCCTTCGCTGAGACGTGATAGTTTGCCGTACTAAGTCAGATTCGCCATCATGGCCTTTCGCCGGAAACGTCTATGGTCACGATAGAGTCGCCTTACTCAGAGGACTCCCTCATTACTACCTACGACATCCAGTCCGTCATCTCGAAGCATGCTGCAGACACGGCTCTGATCCTGCTGCCCGGCATCCAGTACTACACTGGCCAACTATTTGACATCCCAACCATTACTGCATTCGCCCATAAGCACGACATCTTCGTCATATGGGACCTCGCTCATGCGGTAGGTAATGTTCCTCTCCATCTACACGACTGGGATGTGGATGCCGCTGCTTGGTGCACGTACAAGTATCTTAATGGCGGACCGGGCTGTATAGGGGGCATGTTCATCAACTCTCAAAGGAGCTTGGTGACTACGACTATCACCGACGAAGAGCCCGAGAGAGGGTATGGCCAACGCCTATCAGGTTGGTGGGGGAATGACAAGGCCACTCGTTTTCAGATGGCGACCAAGTTCCACCCGGTGAAAGGAGCTGCAGGGTTCCAGCTCAGCAATCCGAGCATCTTCGATATCACGAGCCTGGGCGCGTCGCTAGAGGTCTTCAACCTCGCCGGCGGAATTGGGCCGGTGCGGGAGAAATCCAAGAAGCTTACAGCGTTCCTCGAGGAGGGCCTCTCCCTCCTGTCGGAAGACGCGAAGAAGCTCTTCCGGATCATCACGCCGTCCGATCCGGACCAGCGCGGCGCCCAGCTGAGCCTGTTGCTGGGGGATAACCTCTTAAACCCAGTTATGCACGAGTTAGAGAAGCGCAGTGTCGTCGTGGACGAGCGGAAGCCTAACGTTGTCCGTGTTGCCCCCGCGCCTCTATACAACACTTTCAGCGACTGCGTCTCATTCGTGGAAGCTTTCGAGGCGGCATTGCTGGCAACGCAGAAGTAGGTATGAGAGTTTTCTAATAGATGCCGGGAGTGTTATGTTCTCTTCATTGCTATCATGTTAGTTTCAGCCTCAATAAAAGTCAGGTGAAGTAGGCAGACTGCGTGTACGGTACAGCTTGGAACAGAATGTATAGCGGTCTCCGTGATATCCCATCTCTATTTGATTAGTCGAGTAAACATTCGCAGCTTATCTCTATCTCAGTCTTTTTGATATACTATACTGTACTGGGCCGTAAAAGTTTGTCTTTCTCTGATTGCTTCCCACTTCGGCCCGGCCTATGATATCCCCACTGGCCCTTCGGACTCGGATCCTACTTGAACACTTCTACCGACTGGATCATTTCAAGAATCAGTTAGGGGCTTGTGGTTTAGTGGTATAATACTCCCTTAGCATGGGAGTGGTCCGGGGTTCGATTCCCCGCGAGTCCAAAATTAGGAGGTTAGATTCCTCTTATGCCGCGCTTTTTTTTTCTTCTTCTTTTTTCTTGCCTTTCGAGATAATTATTTCTAACTGTGCGCGAATATGCGGACCTTCTAAGTTAGTAGCCAATGTCTGATTGCCCTAAGCACTCATTCTTTACGCTAGCACATATATCAGGTCTAGTTTAGGGGGTACACTGGAGATCATGGTGCTTCGCAACTTTTCGTAGTATTGAAGCTCTATTCTAACAGTGGCTTGTTTCACAAAGGCCTCGCATTGCGCATAAGTTAAAGAAATTTATCAAAATTTTTGTTATATGAGGGACGAAAATAGAATTATCTTCTGCGGCCCCCCCCTGAAGTCCGACCCCCAGCAGGTCAAAATGCAAATCTTCGTGAATTGAAGCCAATCTCACCCGCCAAATTCCTTATCCACTACCTCCCAGGCTACTTTCTATCGGACATCCCCTCTTCGCTATAATGTAGGCGAGATCTCAGTAAGAATGTTCCAGGTCAAGACGGGTAGACTCGGAAGCCGTCCAACGTGTAACGAGTTATGCACCGGTAGGCCCAGACTCCCCGGACGAGAGGGTTATTGTCGTAGCCCATGAAGTGGGCACTGTGGGTACGGTTAGGCCGTCGCTGCTGGTGGTTGCCGAGACCTCCCCGTAGGTGCCGCCAGGAACATTGGTAGTGCCGGGAACATTGGTGGTCCCAGGAATGTGAGTACTTCCAGGATGAGTCGTAACCGCTAGAGCCAAAGTTGGGGAGGACTGGCCGGCGGGCATGCCAAGGACGACAGCTGCTAGACTCGCGAGCGAGAAAATCTTGGATAGCATGATGTCTTGCTTTTAGATGGATGCGGAGAGATATTTAAGCTTCGTGAAGGAAGAGAACCACGAATGTGTGCTCGTTCAGTAGGATGAGTTTGGAATGATGGGTTAACAGAGGAAACTTGGAAGACCTACCACGAAAGGAGGTTTATATAGGAATAAACTACCTGCTCATTTTGTTGGGTTTGCTTATGATCGAAAAAAAACCGAGTAAGAGGGTATCAAGCGCCGCCGCCATCTAGGAAGTCAAACACTAAGCGCCGATGACGAGATTGAAGTCCAAATGGCCAATGAGGGTCAGAGAAACCAAGCGATTACGGCGCAATTGTACGGTTTCTTCATTACGCAATGCTTGATATGTCCATCGTCGTTTGCCACTTGAAATTTAGATGAATTATCCCCCCATTTTGAGCATCTCAGGATCTCGAGTCTTCAAATTCGATATGTTTCCCGATTTACTTAACTCAAACAGACCTTATTTCCTCTCGATTCCTTGCAGATCCGTCAACTCGTAGGTGGCTTTTGCGAAACAATCCCTCAGAAGCTAAAGGAATCCCTTCTGCTGTCATCTGCTGGGCCGTTGTACACTTCCCGTTTAGTACCCAAAACTCGAAAACGCCAGTCAGCTGTTTGTTCTCGCAGATTTGGAACCAACGCGCGTCGATGACTCGGGATTTTAGCAACTGCTTCTGTGTACGCTGGTCCAAGCCACACTTGGGCGTTCTTCCGGCCGTTCATCGTATGCAATCCTCGAAAAATACATGATTGCTAAATTGGTTGAACGCAAGGCCGAGTTAATTATATCGTATCGATCGGCGTCATCACATTATGATTTGGACGCGGGTTCTTAATAGTTCGTTGGTGGCTTTCCAGCCCCAACAGACAACTGCGGCGTAGACACTAATCCCATATCGACTGTTCTTCGCCTCGGGACTCTCACGTGTACTCCTCTCTCGCCTTCTCCCTTTTCTTTAGGGACGTTGGACTACTCGAAGTCCCCACCAGGGGAACTGCCTCTCCCTGGGCAGACTGCATGCCGATCGGAGTCAATACAACCATTCAGACATATATATCCGAAGCTATGAGACTCCCCATCCGGCTGTGATTCGAAAGTGATACAATCCACGTTGGCCAGAGCATAAGCGGCTGAACAAGTCTGTGTCGACCAACTCGCCCAGGAGACCTTTCCCCGTCTATGCTGGGTAGACCGCAAGGAAGTGGTCAAAATACAGGCCAGTTTTTTATCCGTAAGTTGGGTTCCGATCGTGTATGGACTTGCCTGTGCTGTAACCGGAGACGATTTTCGGTTGTTAACCATGAGGGTCTTCGCATCATCGTGTGGACAAGCCTTTCATGCTCCTCACTTTTCATGCCGTACCTTTGCCCGTATGACTCCTGCGCCCATATCATTACACTCATTGTCGTGGTGTTTAAATTCGACCCAACATCGCCAAATGCGCCGCTGATATCGATGGTGAACCGGGTCATTCGTTCGCTGGTCGATATCTTCAGCGGTTCGGGTTGTAAAATAGAGTAGTTTCCCACGAGGGCTCGAACTACTCGTCGCTAGATTTGCGCTAGATTTGAACCAACTAGTTCTTCCATACCGACATTAAGGGACTTCTTGGGTGTTTAACCAGTACGCAAATGAGAAAAAAAAGAAGGTTGATATCCCAGTAGACTGAGAAGCATCAGGAATTGAGCCCGATGCGGGGGTCGAACCCGCAACCTTGAGATTACTAGTAAGAGTCTCACGCTCTACCGATTGAGCTAACCGGGCAGGTTATTCTTTAAGAATTGGCCTGCTTGAGTGATTTAACGGAACGCTATGTGGATAGAAAAGGCACACTAGATAATGGCAAGAGAAAAAAGGCAAGGAGGAGAAAAATGAAACGTACAACACCAGGGATTCGCTGGTCGTCACCGACCCAACTACTGATCTGGCGGTATCCGGTTTATCAAATGGGAGAGCGGACGGGATCCCGAGTTCTCCAGATCCTATGGTCGTACGTGACAGAGCATGGTGTTGTCTTCGCTTATAACGGCGGTGTCGCGGTAGTCGAGTAGAGGCTGCTTCGTCCCGAAACCACGCATGCCTCTATCCGCCTCTACCAAACACGTCTTAAGTCATAATTCTGATGGGAGAAATGGACAGGCTAGGTAACAAGAATATATGAACAGAGCGAGTCATGGAAGACGTGAATTTCCGCGTCTTAACCTTGAGGAGTAAGTTGGTAAATTTGGGGGGATTAAGGGGAAGGTCTGGCGTCAGATGCGGCTGAAGTATTATTACAGGTGATGCGGTACTGATGTGGCGTACAATTAGGCACTCAAAAGGGGCTGTGTCTCACCCGCCAAGCTTGCCAAGCCAAGCAACCTAGGCCGGCATCCCAGTTTCAACAAGTCGATAAGTCTCGTGTGACGTAATGAGTGCTAGTCGAATGTGGCGTGCAATTGCCCGACGACTCTGAGTCGCGCGGTGTCATTAAAGGCTTGGGAGGCAATGGCAAAACCTGGAACCTTTGCCATTTCATTTAAATATCCGCGTGTCCTAGATCCGCATCCAGACGTACTGTAGCTCTTAATTCTACTCAACATTACACTTCTAAAGTACCAATACACCGAACGAACGCAATAGTTCCACCCACTACGCAATAATTCGGTTACTCGCCAATTTCGTAAGTATACATATACATCCCCAGAACGGAAGGAGATTCACATCAACCACATCACCCAGCTGTATTTCTAACAAGTTTCGTAGACATCAACCAGAAAGCAATGCCTTTCTTCTATTCCAAGAACTTCGGTGGCCGCCACTTCGGTACTAACGTCACGGCGGGTCGACATGGCATACGCCGAGGTCCGTGGCGCTTCAGCTTCCGGGGATTCAACTGTTTCAAGAGCTAGTGCTGCTTCGTAGGCTGAAAGTTTGGATGGCTCGACGCCCGGTAGCACGCGAAGGAAGAAAGCAGTTTCCGCGCAGACATCGTGGCCACACATAGCTCAAGCGCCGGAATTCGAGGTTGGGGAGGTGTTGGTTCTTTAGGAAATGCGTGGGCGAATCTGCATCAGTCTTTGTTCGGGGAGTTGCGTTACGATTCGCTTGGTTACGACGGTCAACTGTTGACCGTCAACTGGAGTATTAGGGCTGGGTTATGAGTGCATGAGATCGCTACCTTTATTATCGGCCTATTTTCGGGGTTCTTCCTAATAAGCAACAACTTGACTTCTTACAAAGCTCACCCTTCAAGTCCTCACAAGTCCTCATGTCCCTCCATGTCCATCAGCTGCAACATTCTAATGACCAGCAATTCTTATCATATAAATTCCAAAGTGAAATACAGTATATATCTTCACTTGCCAGCTAAGGACTTCCTAAGCTCGATACTTAAATAGCGATGATGTCTACAGAAAATGGGTGCACCACAGGAAATGGGTTTAACTACTAACAAGGTTGTTTAATGTTTGAGTGTTGCCATAAAAGTATGCGTTTGTCTGCCGCGATTTCCAAAGAGTATTTTAAAACCGGTGTGTTATCTATAACAATGGTATATATTGTCCGTGACTACCATACTGTTCCCACTCTACCACAGCGAGAATAGGTTGAGTTATGTAAATTAGCTTCCTTTACTATCTCAAACCGGGTTCTAGTCCATAATCAACGAATATGTGCTGACTGGGATACTCGCTTCCATGGCACTATGACCACCAGGTGACGGCTCCAAAGCTTCCCTAGTGGGTGTGCTTATACACCACCGCTATCCAGCCTTTCGAATAACCGATGTGACTGGTGATCGATATCGGTACTCGCAGAACGGTTCTTTTCTGTCCTTTTACTTACCAGAGACTTGAGCGGACAACTAATGTGTGGAGCTGAGCGGTGATTCCGCGAAGCTGTGGATACGACGTCGCGGACGAGAACTCGTAAGACGGGAATAGAAGAAGCCATGATGGTAGTGGAGACTTCTGCTGCACCCCATATGGCCAAATTTCCACCGTCATCTATTGATATTGTTAGTGCCCGGTAGAGGAGGAGGGAGAATTTATTAAGGCTGAGCATACAGAAAAAATCGACGCTGTAAAGATTCTTTAGATAGTAGCACTTTACAATCGCCGTTGTACCAGCACTGAAAACTTGTGTTAGTTTGGATGCGTGCCCTTGCACGTTCGCAAGTAGACTTACAAGATTCCCGTATTCGTAGCCGCTGCTACCCCTATCTTCTCCTTACGCCTTAGGTTCAGTTTCCAAATGAAGGGCCACTAATTTTTTCAAATTAGTAAATACGATCTCTCATGATTCTATTTCTGGTGTAAGGGGGGACAGTAATAGAAGGACGTTGCCCATCACCCATGGGAACTAGGAAGCGTGGAGATGATAAAGAGAAGCTTACTTACGGGAAGTAACGCAAGCACGAAATCTATAAACCCCGAGTATGCTGAAGCAAGCATGCCAACGACGCCATTCAAGTTGGGCCAACACGTACCCGGAACCATGGTGTTCCATAGCTTCTCGACGGGACTGCATTGGAATAGGAAAGAGAGGGCAGCCATTGTAAGCAACAGGTTTGTCGACACTATTATAGTCCAAATGACTATTCTCGTCTTCCCATTAACGATATGTAGTAGCGTCACTGCGAAAGACGTCTTGCTCCAGGCGATGGCAAATGGGGTGAGAAATCCGACGATGTGATCTCTCAGTCCGATTCTCGCCAAGCTCTCGACGCCATTCTCAGCGATCACGTCAACTGTGTGCTTTCCAAAGCCATCTTTTACGTCAAGAGTAACTAAAATACTGCTAGAGAGGAGAATACACTAGTGAAAAGGGGTCAATCACCCATCGGAAGCACCCAGGGCGTGTAGCTTACCCAGGAGGCGATTAGAATGTAGTCGTCCCAAAATGGTAGCGTACGTTTGTAGAATTTACAAAATAAACGTAGAGATAGGAACAGAAATGCTAGCGGCGTGCAGGTCCATAGAGCGGCAATGATGTTGGGGCCATGATTTGGCACATCTGAATCCATCGCGAAGACCCAAAGGACAACTGGACTAAAATAATTAAAAATTCAGATTTTGTCAGGTTCGGATTATGTAGGTTAATAAAGAAAGATGCGGTCCCAATGATGAATGATCATTGATATAGAAAATTACCAAATCCCAGGCTACATCCCAGGTTGCAACTCCTTTGGGTATGATACTTACAGCCAGCCCTGTTTCGTCCTGTACTTGGAGATGCGATAATACTACTATACATGCACGTGCGGAATGAGTGTCAGCCATTCAGAAAGCCCTTATCGCGCGTGGGCAGGTTTGTATAAGGCTCCAGAACCGACTTGCCTGCTAAATATATCAATTGATCAGCATAAACTTCTCGACGGGTAGCATTCAGATAGATCACTACCAATCAGTGTGAATGGCTGGAGCATCCAGTTGGAGGATTCACCAGCTGTAGGATTATCTAGTAGCATCCGCGGTTCTTGTACCGGCGGAACTGAAGAACGGAATGCTACCGGCACTTAGTAAGATTTGCATGATGATTCCTTCGGGACGCGGGGGGGGGGGAGTCTTGGGGTTGCCATGTGATCAGGATTATACTGGGGAGAGCGTATTTCTTGAAAGAAAGCTAGAAGCACAATGCAGAATCTCGAAAGACAAGCTCGCCATCAGCTATTCTCGAGTGCTGCATTTAATATCAGTAAGGCTAGGGTGGATGCGTGCGGCTTATATACAAGGTATAGTGAGGTACCTGGAGCATGCATGGTTGCAGCGGGCACTGACTTCCACTGCTTAGCCTCTAGCCCCTATTTATGCCCAGCCAGTCGAGTCTCGTACAAAGCAATTTTTAAAAGTTTTAAAAATTCTAAAATTGATATTAGGGTAGTGAATCGCTTTACGAACAGATTGACATAAGTTATACGCAAATAACTCAGGTATTTGTTGCTGTTAATTTGAATTATTTGGAAGAAGTCCTTGCCAAGCCTGTGCCATTATTTCAGGAGAGGTCTCCATATCTCCATATCAAACTGAAATTGAGTGAATAATTAGGTACATAAGGTCTATGCTTTTCCACCAAAAGGGTCTAACGAGTCGAAATAGCAACCATTCTTTTCTTTAGAGAATACATCATGCTTTGTGGTGATATTTTCTTTCCTATCACTTCCGGGTCCTTTCATTAGCCATGTAATGCTCGGTCAGGGTCATCCAGCCACTCTCGAATCCTATCCAAGCCGAAAAGATCATGCTCCTTGTCGGAAAACATCACTAGCTTTTCGGGGTTGCACCAGCCGGGCGTTCCCCCTTCCATGAGTCTTTCACCAAACGGCCGACAGGATCCAAAATCAATCAGTACTGGCAAATTGTCTTCATCCAGTAGTATGTTGCTTGGTTTCAAGTCGTTGTGCGCCAATCCGGCCTGGTGCAGGTGAAAGATTGCTGACTCAAGCTCCTCCATGAAGCGCTGTGAGTCTATAGTGCCATTCTTATCCTTATCCTTGTCCATTTGCCACATGAAGAAATCAGTGAGACTGCACTTGTGACGCTCCAGAATGATTCCCGCTAGACGTCTATCTCTCTTTAGGCAGCCATAGTACCGAATTATATTCTTGTGCTGGATGCTCGAGACTTGCTCCATGATCTGAGCCTCTCCCACTATATCAAGCGGAGTTAATCAAGGTGTTATGCGGGAAAGAGAGGCGAGACAATCGGCATGCCAGCTACTTACAGAAAACATCACGAATCCACCCGCGGGGGGCGGAGGTCTCATACGTGAGAAGGGAAGGTCTC